GGGGCCGCCGGCAGCGGACCAGCCGCAGCGCGTCTGGGCTGTCCCACGTGCTCCGCGGCTTTGCTCCCCGTCTCCCTGGTCTGCTGAGAAGAAAAGGCACGGAGGACCTGGGCGGCGGGACCGTGGCGCATCTCGGTCCCGCTGCCCGCGTCTCCCTGGTCTGCTGGGGGGGGGAGGGTTCACTAGCTGCGCCCCCCCATCCCGCCCTCCAGCAGACCAGGGAGACGGGGAGCAAAGCCGCGGAGCACGCGGGCAGCGGGACAGCCCAGACACGCCGCGGGGGGGGGGGCTCCCCCCAGCAGACCAGGCGTTTCTCCGGACGCCTGTGGTAGAGCAGCTGGGGCGCTGCCGGTTGGTCCTGCAGCGCTGCTCTGGGCGCTACTGGACCAACCCGGCAGCACCCCAGCTGCCCTGCCCCAGGCGTCCTGATTCAGCCACTGCTGAATCTGGACGCCAGTTCCGACTTACATACAGATTCGACTTAAGAACAAACCTACAGTCCCTATCTTGTACGTAACCCGGGGACTGCCTGTATTTCAATAATATTTGTGAGTCCATATGAAAAAGCAGTAAAAAATATAACAATTGCTAGCTGTTTAATAACCGGGTATAGTTAATGCTTTATATTAAAATTATATTAAATAAGCTGTTGATTTATATGCACTTCTTACCATGTTTTGCAGAATTTTGAGTGCTTCTTCTTTTCCTTCAAGTTGTCTCTGTGATGCTTCAAGCTCTACTTTTAAAATCTCTACCTTCTAGGGTGCCAAAAAACAAAATAATAAAAAGCTGAAGTTAAAAACAGAAGTCTTGCTATGTCTCAACAATTTATGTTACTGAATGAACATCCTTCACAAGATAATTTCCCTACTAATATGATTTACAGCTTGTTTCCAACATGAAATAATACTAATGAGAATGCGTATTTAAACAAAACATACTATCAAGCATACATTCAGCAACTATTTCTTCCCATTCTCTGCAAATGTATTTTAACAACATATGATTGGATTCTGCAGCTCTTTTGTTTGTGTTTATTCTTGCACAGGCTTTTGAACATTGTACCCTGTTATGCTCTCTTATTTTAATTTTGCTACAACTAGTATATGGATATTTTATATAAGGATATTATGCTAGAATTATTTTGTATATTGAGAATTAAGTTGATGTCCAGGGGGGGAAAGGCCCAATGTATTCCTGTCTGGATGCCTGGTTGGAAGCCCTTCCCAGCTGAAATTCACGTAGCAGAGTTTTAGGTGGTCAAAATCTGACTGGCTGCTATAATTAGATTCCAAAGTCAGTGCTGCTATTCAGCATGGGTTACATTTCCACCAAGTCAGGAACTGAGACTGAAATGTGCCTGTATTTGGAGGATTGGGCTGGATGTACAGATTGAGCCATTCAGTAGATATCTTTAAAAAAAAAGGGGGGGGGGGGACAAAAACAAACTTTGAATGAACAGCTAATGGCAATTGAGTAATTTGCTTTAGAACATGATTGTATGTGCCTTTTACAAAATCGAGAGGTCAAGTATTTTTGAGTTTCAAAGTAGACCTTTTCCTAGAAAACGACAATTTTCTTACCCAGTGATTTTAGCCTTCAATCTAGACTACATAGGCATGTATGCTTTAGATTTAGTTTCCACCTTACATTCTGTTTATAGAAGCAGCATATGCTAAATCTTTGGCAAATCATGACTTTGAAACTTCAGGGGGTAGCTGAGTTAGTCGGCACAGGATAAACTTAAACAACAAATGGTCTAGTAGCACTTTGAAGTATCTCACGTTTAAACTGCAGGACTAAGTAGAGATAGGGATGTTAAATATTGATTAATCAGCTAATTGAGTAGTTGAATGAAATTTACATTGACTATTCTATTAGTCAATAAGGGGGGCACTCGCTATCCCACTGCACCTCTCCCTCTGAAATGTACGAGAGAAGTGGCAACTCATGCACATTTCAAAGGGAAAGGGGCAGCAGTGAGACCAGACAGCCGGACTGTTTCAAACCCCACTTGCGCCATTTCCCTGCTGCTCCCACTGGAGACAGTGGTGGGGGGGACAGGGACCAGCTTTTAAACTGACTCACCAGCAACAGCTCATACTCCCTCCACTGCTGTATCTCTCTAATAAAGGCTGCAAGGGTGGGGGATAAGCAACATGTCACATTCCTACTCGACTACCGGATAAGCATTTGCTTACTGGGTAGTTAACTAATGTATGGAGATATACCTATCTCACAGAGCTGGAAGGGACCTTGAGAGCTCATTGTGTCCAGTCCCTTGCCCTCACAGCAGGACCAAGTACCAGCCCTGACAGATTTGCCCCACATTCCTAAATGGCCCCCTGAAAAACTGAACTCACAACCCTGGGTTTAGCAAGTCAATGCTCAAACCACTGAACTATCCCTCCCTGCTAGTTAACTCGTTGATTACATCCCTAAGTAGAGAATTTCAATACAATATGGACTCTCTTCTCTCTTACAGATTATTGGGTGCATGATGCAGAGTGATCCTCCTGTCTTTTGCGAGCTGCTGAACACCTACAACTCCCACTGAAAGGTTGAGAGCACTCAGCAAATCCCAGGTATTGAGCATCTTGAGGTACTTGGCCCACGTTTTATGCTGTTTGATGATTAATAGAATGTTTTCTGCCGTGCGTATTCTCTCTAAGCCAAAACTTTAAGCTCTTATCTATATACCCTCTTGAAATGGTTCTTATTTTTCCTCTGCTGGAATGAATGCTACTATCCCATGGCTTTAAATGGAGGCTCCTCTTTTGTTCTCTTTACATTTCTGTGGTTTATTTCATTACTAAGACAATGCTAATGTGTAAAAGAGGGGTTTTTGTTTTACTTGGACAGTAATAAGATTTGTATTTCTATGTTTGTTCTCAGTTAATAGAAGTTGCACCACAACATGTCCAAATGACAATTTTTCTTTGCACAGTATATAGCATCACAATTTACTAACATTTGATTCATATCGTAGGGGTGTTACTTGAGATGTCACTGTGCTGTGCATTCCAAGGGCCCTTCAACACAGCTGGCTTAAAATAGGCCTGCCAGCTTCTGTGTTGGTGCTTTAGGTTTCCAAAACCAAGAATGTAATGAAGAGAATGCTGCTAAATGAAGTATTGTCCCTTTAAGGCCCTCCACACTTTGGAAATCTAGAACAAAATCTTCCTCTTCATTTCACTCCAGAATCGGAAAATCCAGTAACCTTCAGGCTTATAGATCCTGGGGCACAGAAGTTTAAGTCTCCCAATTAGCTCTTTAATTGGCTATGCCCATGTTTACCCAAAAGTTTTGGCTGTTCTAAGATCTTCCAGTGAAATAACACCATCTATATTTTTTTATATTATAATAAAGTATTTTAAAAGGATTAGTACCAACCATTCAGGACTAGTACCAACCTCTATAGCCTCTTGAAGTTGCTGCCTTAATTCTTCATTTGACACTTCAGAATTAGACTCTATAAAATTAATGAGATACCAACACAATCACAACATTCCCATTTTTTTTAGTTTTCTTTACATTTAAGAGAGCTCATTTAGACACTCATCCTCTTTGAAATTTTTATGAGGCTGAATACCACAGAATTATAAAATATATTAAAACAGTATTTATTAGCTGGTTTGCAATATTTCACATGTAAAGAAGCCAAAGTTAGAAAAATGAGAAGTTCAGCTACACTGAGAATAAATTAATTTCAACAATTTCCTTTTTTCAAAAAGCACTTTTCCCTCCAAAATGCATTTTCATTTTTTCTGTATGTATTTATGAAAAAAATGTGTTAAGTTTTCACTGATAAAACTCCAACACAAAAACTAGCCACCAGGTGTTTTGGAAAGGTACATAAGGTGTTGCAAGAGTGCATGGAGGGAAGCACTACACTGGATACACTCATTCAACTCATGTAACTCTCAGATGGTTATTATGGGCAAATGCTTTTTCTCACCTGTCCTGAACTACCAATGACCTCCATTCCACATGGGTAGACCCCTATTCAGAGACCCAACAAATTCAATATGGCCCCATGTGAGCCTCAAGCTCTGCTTGCATGGAGCTCATTGCATAGACTCTTATAACTTAGGCTGCAAGCAGTACAGTACTATTGTGAAATTGACTGGGGTTGCACAAGTGTCATAAATTTCACATGGAACCTGCTGATTTCAGCCAAAGAGCAATTATGTTAGAGGGGGCGGGAGTGAGCCAGTGTCTAGAACACCAATGAGGGAACCATTCAGTTGGTGATAATAAGAGTAACTAAAAAGACATTTGAAGGAGAGGAGAAAAAAAAAAAAAAGCACTAACTGTAGTTGATTATATTCACAGCATTGCCACCTTTATATAACATTGAAACACTAATAATGTGAAAACAAAGAGCTTTAAATGTTGTAGAGTAACTTTTTAAATGATGAGATTGTTCCTAAATGACAATTTCAATGAAATGTTAAGCACAGATATTTGAATTTTAGCTGGAAACTAAATTTTAGATATAATTTCAGAGATGATACACGTAAGCAGCTTATAGCTACTAGAACAGTGGTGAGCAACCTGCGGCGCACTGGGGCTCCACCTGCAGCTTACAGACCCAATGATTGCCCCCTCCCACACTCGCCTCTCACGCACTAGGGCACTGGAGCCTGCACTTCCTATGTCTCCCCACTCTCTCCCAGCAGTTTCAGAGGAGCCACGGTCCGCCTGATTCACACTCTGTCTCCTCTTCTCCCCTACTCTCCCAGACTTGGAACACTGCAAATGATTTTGCTGCATTCAAGCTTTGGGAGGGAGGGGGACTGAGTGGAGATGGAGAGTAAATCAGATGATTTGTGCACTCTGAAAGTGCTGGGATGGGGAGGCCTAAGAAGTGTGGGGCTCTGGTGCCCCAGTGCATGAGAGGCACATGTCGGAGGGGGACAGCCAGGGTCCGCAGGGCCACGGTTGGAACTCCAATGGGCCATGGGCTGCTGCAGCCCACTCAGATGAAAGAGGGCCATTTTTGCAGCCCACCCACTGTTTATGGTTGCCCATCTGTTTATCAGAAAACAGAACAGGATTGTGTCATTCAAATTTCTTCATAAACAAAGAATTAGTTTGCTTCTCTACCCACCCCCCACCTTATTTCCTTATCTTTTGGTCAAACCTCATTTTCAAAAACCCCATGAAAGAGGGGTCACAGAACCAGTGGCTGGAAAGGAAAAAGCCAATATAGCCTCAACCCCTAGCATTTGAAGAACTAAGATCATCCGCAACAAACTAAACTGAAATTATAGTCCAATGGGTATTTTATCCGACAATTTACAGTCTACATAATCATCATTCTGATTGTCATAAAAAATTTCAGCACTGCAGAGCAGTATCCAAAAATCTAAGCAGAATAACTAAAATTCTTAAGCATGTATAGACTCCTATGGATGATTAACTTTACTGTGACACGACATTAGCTCAAAAGACTGCAAAACACTAACTTTTAAGATTGCCAGTTACCAATGTACTGTGCAAACATTAGAGGCACTTCTTAAAATATTTCATTAGAGAATCTCAAAATGTTTCTGAAACATTTTGAATAAAACTTCACAATACTCTCATAAGGTTGATTATTTTCTCAATTTCACACATACAGCAAAACATTAGAGGGAAATAATTAACTAGAAGTTAGTCTTACCAGAACTATTTTGTCGGCTGCATCTAGTAACACCACTTATTCCAAGCTTTTTGGATGATACATCATAGAAACCACTGCAGTTTAAACAGTGAAAAATTGCAGCATCATTTTCTTCCCCTTTCTTTTGCAAAAGCATATTGAAGATCTTATCAGATCCTTTCCTAGATCTGTGTGTGTGCACATTTAAACCTTCCATTTCATAGACACCACCAGGTCTTTTACCAAGTCCATTTCCCAAGTCTCCACAAGTCATGTCATCCTCTTCGTCTTCTGAGTCTTTCTCCTCCTGCTTGCTTTGTAATGTGAACATCTCACTCATTGGCAACGTGAACAGTGTCTCCTTCAGAATTCTATTGTACCTATTTTGAAAGGGAAAAGATCCTCAAAGTAACTGTACAGAAGGGAATGCAGTATTTGGAGATGAAGTGAAAAATCTTGTGTTTTTAAAGTCCCAGTGTTTTCCAACAACATCTTCAGGATCCCAGAAAATGTTTATTCTGCACTGAAACAACACACACTAAAACAACAAAGAGCAGAGTGGCACCTTAAAGACTAACAAATTTAAAGACTAACACATTTATTAAGGCAAAAACTTACAGGATTCCTTATTGTTTTTGCTGAAACAAACAGACTAACATGGCTACCTCTCTAAAACACACTAAGACAATCTGAGTCATTTGTCCATAAAACTACCTGTTAGGTATGCAAACGCGATTCCAGTGACTTGAAGTTAAGATTAAACAAACAGATGAGTTTAACTGATACAAAACCTGCAGATATTTTCAGTTTGTTTGAACAATGTTTCTATTAACATAAAAGCATATTGCCATTCTGGTAAATGCCAACAAGGCACAAAAGAATACGCCTAACCACCTACTCACAGGTTTCTTTAAATAAAAAATAAGGCAGTAAAGATGAAGTATATGAGCTGGGAGTCAGGAGCCTCGCACAGGGCCATAAGTGGCAGCTGGGGTGAGTTGTGATACATTTCTTACAGGTACTGTCCTAAGTTACTTTCGCCTCTGCTAACATAACACAAGAAGCTCACCCAATGAAATGTATAGGCAGTAGATTAAAAAAAAAACCAAAATCTTCATGGTCAGACAGTGGAACTCTTTGTCCAGGGATGGAGGAAAGACCCAAACCATAACAGAGTTAGGGTGCGAAAATTGGGATTCCTACTGCCGGCACCGTCTCTCTGGCCTCACTAGTCCCCTAAACCACCTCGGCTGGAGGGAGAGGCAGGGTAGGAATAGAGCAAAGGAGGGAAGGGCTTAGGACAGAGGGAGGCTATTCTGGGAGGAAGGGGAATACATGGCCTGTGCCTGATCTTCGTTTCCTCCCTTCCCCAGTTGCCTCTGGACAAGACCCGCTCATACAGTAAGCCCACTTTTAAGTCTGGGCCTACCTAAACTCTGTCTACACCACTGCTTCCTGTGCTGCGTCTGATTGAAACCACAGGTATAAAAATAATTCAGTTACAAACAAGAAAAGAGAAAGTTCCAGTCTAAACAGATCCCGAATTTCTAATGTAATAATACAGACAACTATTAATCTTTTCAAGACTTCTTTATCCACATCCTAACACCAAACAAAGAATTACAAGACCATTTTTGTCCTTCTGCAGGTCACATTTAAAGAGCAGTGAGATATGGAAGGTCAGGGCCAAGTGGCATTCTGGTCAACATGCAGGAGTGAAAAAATAGGTGGCTCTCATGAAGCAGCAAACTCCAGCAAGTGCGCGATACTATTGACGAACACTCAAGGCATCAAACCCGCGGCGCTCCCCGCCCTGTGCACACGTGTGATTTCTCCTAGAGAGCGAGGAAAGAAATCCGCCTGTGTCCGGGCTCAGCCGCACCCCCGGGCCCAGGCTACCCAACAGCCTTGACCCCAGAGCACCTGGTAACAGAGGAACCGGTAGCCCCCCTCCCACAGCACCACTGGCTCCTGCTGCCTCACAGTGTGTAAACTTTGTGTTATCGCCCCTCCCCCGGCCCCTCGGCCTTTCGCCTCCTGTGCCCGGGCCCCAGCCTGCCTGGAGCGCCCAATTCCGCCCCCGGCCGGCTGCCGGGTGCTGAACTCCCTGCACAGCCCGGGCAACCGCCCAGGCGGCG